AGTTTACATGATTTGTCAAACCTATGTATTGTTTCTTAACTAATCACCGTAACAATACGAGTTAAAAGTTAGTGTCGTGTATTGTAGCTCGTTAATCGTATTGTAATGTCAATGTGTAAGTACTTTGGGTACTTACAAATAAATTAACTCTATCGATGAATCAATTGTTGTTGTTCGTAATAAATGTACTCGTACAATATAGTGATAAATATTGCTCTACTACTGTTCTGTATATCACGTTCACAATTCACGCATGGATCGTACAATATCTACGTATTATAGTTCCTACAATATAGTACTTCTGTACTGTACTAATGGTACCCTTGTTATAGTACCATTTGGGGTTAACACGACCATATAAAACCATCTCATTCCTCATTTATTCATTTTGTGACTCATTTAAAAGAATTGAGACAACTTGGGAGTTGATAGTTGTTGAATATGGTCACTTGTGATGAAAACAATCACTTATACATAGAAGCCTTGCACATTAGTAGTGTATCTTGTAAGGAATTCGATACATTTGTTCCATTTTGAACCCCAAAGTTAAAACTAACATAAAAAAACCTTACAACCTTAATTTAAAACATATTTAATGTCTTTCCCACACTTATGGATCACAGATAAATAAAAAAAAATCGAGCAATTCAAGTCATCACTATTATGGTATTGATTGGTCTAACGACTAGTATATTCGGTGGCGTGTATATGGATGGACGGAACCGTTGGTTGGTATCCGTGTCCCAACGGTAGAGTACTTATGTACTGTACTAATAGTACCCTTGTTATAGTATCATTTGGGGTCAATACAACCATAGAAAACCATCTCATCCCTCATTTATTCATTTTGTGACTCATTTACAAGAATTGAAACAAATTTGAGCAATTCAAGTTATCAACATTATGGTATTCCTCATTTTAGGTAATGGTATAGATGGGGTAGGTTATACGCATCGACAAGAAACTAACATAGTATTAAAAACTAATTTGCAAAACACTTACACTGTTCAAAATAGGTGTCACAACACCACAAAAATGGGACAAGTTTTAAAACCATCATCGCACGAAAACACTAATCTAAAAGTACTTGTTCATGCAAAGACAGTCAAAAGCATATTGTTCGTGACAATCACAACCCAAAAACACCCATAAAACAGATTGTTCAAAAATAATTTTAAAAATTGTTCAAAATATGTTCAAAGCATCAGCATCTATTGCCTCTCTATCCACGCCCTGGTGCTTTAAGAAGACAAGTGCTAGTTTTGGACGGAGTTTTTTGATCAAGCAAGTTTTCGCCTTTTCCCAAGTCTCAGCGTCATCTCTAGCATGGCAATATGCCCACATGCAGACAAAAATCCCGCAATCATCATTCCCTTCCTGTTGTCTGCATCCTTCTACCCATTCGACATGTGAAGGTATATCCAACGCGGTTTTATTTTCAATCACCCTGCTATAATAACTCGCCTACAAAAATATACTATTATATTAGTATACATGTATTTTCATTACCATATTGCAGCACCGTTCAATCACAATACCCAAACTATGGATTAATAAAACATATACCACATTCCCCAATATATAAATTAAAGAAGTAATAATCGATTTAAGGACTTACGATATAATCTGCAATTCCTGGGCTCGTCGGAGAATGGGCTAGGGAGTTCCAATGCCGAAAAACTTTTTCGTTTGGGTCCAACACAAGCAAGAACCAGTGATCTTTGGGATTTATAGGTATCAGAACATATTTTTTGCTGTAGAGACGTGCTATTCCAAGCTTCTCAACTGCGGTAGATCCAAAATATGTTAAGCTCTTTAAAAAGGTATCCAACTCTGTATCACCCATCTTTCTGAAGTCCATTCGATCTCGTGCCAGTATCTCATACTACGAAACATAATAAAAAAAATATAAGATAAACCAGTATACACAGAATGCAACATCTTTGTTAAACCAATATATACCTGGGCAGGGGTCTCGAGATAATCAATCTCATGCCCATGTTCCTCCATGATCGCTTCGGAATTTAACAGGCTCATGTATATGTCGATGTGCTCCCCACTCAGATGCTGATCAAACAAAAGATCGCACATATGCTTTCCAGTCAATACGTTGGGGCCTCTTTCGATCACAGTTGCACTACAATAGAAATAAACATGCACTATTTGTTAAGTACGCCGATACTACATAAGAAGTTATTATATACCAAATGTTCAGTAAGTTAGTGATTTTACCTCAAATCAACATCAACGAGGTACCCATCAAGTACTGCCCTCTCTACATCAGTAAGCTCATCTCGGCATACATAGTCTGTTCTCCCCTGGTACGTAGAATTATCTACAACAACCTATATCCAAAAGAATCATTAGTGATAATAGTAATAACAATAATAATAATAATAATAATAGTTATTATTAAATTATAAGGAATAATTACTGTTGTGGGCAGTTTAGTAGAGACTACGCTGATTTCTTGTCCTCGACTCTTTCTTCTTCGATTGTCTTCTCTTGCCTTCGACCTTCTCTCCCTCTCCATGTTCAGTACTTTTATCAAGGTTTCTTCTTCATCTTCTTCTTGTTGTTCTCCTTCTTTCTCTTTTTTTTCCTCATCTCCAAGTTCTTCAACAGCATTAAAAAATTTATCTTCCTCCTCCACTTCTTTTTTCCCTTCATCTTGCTCCTCTTCCTCTTCCTCTTCCTCTTCAAAAATAAGAGCTCTTCTTCTCTTCTTCTTCCCCTCTGTCTCTTCCAATCTCACATTCTTCCTCTTCACTTGTTGTGCATTTCCAAAATGCTGCTGCAGTTCACATAAAATAAACAATGATTAGTGTAATACAACAACATCACGTTGGTTTACAAATGGGACATGTCCATCTCATTAATAGTACTCTTCACTTACACGCCTGACTTCGACTTTTCCACCGACCTCCACAGGACCAGATAGTTCTTCCACAGGTGAAACCAAAAACTTTCTCTCTTCTTTGTGCACGGAGAATGATATCACCTAATAAACATATAGACAAATTGTGCATTAGTTTATTACGTAAGCAAATAACACAATGAAAATGCATAAATCAAAATTGTTACCTTGTCTGGTGTGAGTTCTCTAAAAAGATGTTTAGCCTGACGTTCGTCGGCTGGTATTTTAGAGTCGGACCATCGAAAAAATCTTGGGTATTCGAAAACGCTTGTTGCGAATCCCAGAGAAGTGATCCTTTCACTCACCCATGCCAACAACCCAATGGTGCAACCATCAAAATACCCTCCTGCCCCAGCCAAGTGTGCCTCAATATTTTCAATGAGCACATCATACACCAATTTTCCCCACGCAAAATCTCCTACGCGCTCCAATTTGTCAACATGTGGATAAACGTACCTCGGCAGTTGAAAGTTGCCCTTTGGCAATAAGAAAGTATTGCAAGCGAAAATAATGTACAACCTACAAAAATCCTCAATTGATTGTTGGTCGGTCCTAACAGCATACTCTTCCAATTTTTCAGCAATTTGATGACGCTTTACTTGGGTCAATTTACCCCCAAAAACACGTCTAATGAAAGGAGTTTCTATTTCCAGGTTTTTATCGATGGGTATCCCCTTAAACTGTAGTCCCATCATGATGCAGAACTCCCTAGGATCAAAGACGACAGGGATAGTTTTACCTCCAAACCAGAACGTACGTGTCTCCACGTTGTATGTCCTCTTCAACAGAACAGACACCTTTAAGAAACTATGGTATATCTTAGGCATGTTTAAGAAATGCCCGAAAGGATTTTCCTCCAATGCAGCATAGTGTCTGGCCGTCATCATAGGTTTAATTATGTCCATTTGTTCTTTGAAGGCGCTAGGAGAGCACCTGCATGCTTGTTGGGCGTCATCATCTGCAAGTGTATTACGATTATAAAGGAAAAACAATAATCAGAAAAAATACAATTGTAAAATAACAATGGTACTATGTAGGTATTGTAATTATACCGTCACTATATTGTATCAATACCATACACCTACAGTACTTATACTGTTGGGCAATACGACATATACTATTTAATTACATCAGAAGAACTGCCATTACCTTTTTTTATACCTTCTAACTACAATAGCACTACCGTTGTGTAGTAAGACTTATATTATTTAAACACATCTAATGCCCAAAATCAAACCCTTGTTATGACAAAAAGTGATTTGGGAAAATACTAATATTTCAGACGAATGATACCCAAGAGCGAAAGTGTTCAAAATCATGCAATTCCACAGAAAATGAACAATTTTTTGCAACCATAAACAAGAAAACAACATTTTATTGGAACCAGTTGTTCGATTTTTTTATTTCAGAAAACCCCAATCTCGCCGTTGGATACTACCCACTACTGGAAATGTTCAAAATCATTCAATATGAGAACATGCAGTTTGTTTTTTGCTAACAGCAACAAAAAACAACAACAAATTTCATTATCGATTCCTGAAAAAAAAAAAAAAAAAAAACCTTGCTTCTCCTTCCCCTTGTTTGTCTTCACCATTCTTCTACTTCGAATATTATTACTTTAGTTTCCTGTCTACTTTCCGCCTTGTTTATACAAGCAAACAAAAACCGAAAAACCTGAAGAATCGCTGCACGAAGAAAAACTGCAAGAAACCGCTGAGGAAATGGTTCGAAAATTGAATGACAACGGATAGTTGAAAGGTATGGAGCGTGATTCTCAACCGGCGCGTGAAGTAGGTGAAAAGTTGTGTCAGAATTTGCAGTCAGAATTTGCAGGTAATTTCAAAATAAAGTGAAGGGTTTTTCGGTCTTTGCACACCAGTTGGGGAGTTAAGTGCATATTTATGTTTGATTTAGGGTCCAATATGCTTAAAAAATGTTGTTGGGGACTGACCCGCACTTTATGTTTGGGTTTAGGGATTTATCAGTATTTGCCCCATAAATTATATTCTGTTTGTTCTATGCAAAACTGGAAATCGAGCATATCGTAATTTATCACTTTCGAAAATTTTCCAAATTCTACTGTTCATAGATAGCTTCGATTTTATTATGTTCGCTAAGTTATTCCAGAAACCCACTCAATCCCAATCTCCACCACCTTCTTCCCAGGTAATCTCGATTATGTTTTTTTTTTAATTTATTTTTGTTCTTTGATCTATATCGCCTTTTGGTAGAACAAGGGTTGATTCTAGACTCGTTGCTTGATCGGATTTAATCCAATGTCTTTTGTAATAATGAGAGGATATGATTTCGATGTTAATGGTGAATTGAGTTTGTATAAATCTTGGTAGGATTTACTTATTGATGTTTCCATTTTTGTGCAGCTGGATGGCACAAGCCGCCGAAGCATGACGTCAGCAGACTTGGCGCCACGTGTTGCCGTTCACTATGGGATCCCGTCTACTGCTTCGGTTCTTGCTTTTGATCCTATCCAACGCCTCTTGGCAGTAGGGACACTGTGAGTTCAATGTCTTTTCAACATGAATACTATGTAATTAAGTCTGGTCTTGTTTCGTTCGTCTAAATATCGTTCATCGACAAGGCATACTAATTATTCACTTTGTTACTTGTTTAACCTGTCTCTGAAGTTCAAAGCAATTTTTTGATGTTAATAAGTCATTCTTAGGCAGTTCTCTCGTTGCATTTATCTTTGGTTAATCGGTGTTTTACACTTTTACTATAATCTACGCTTTCTTCATGTTACTATATATGCTCCCCTCATTTAATATTATTTTATTGTTTCACTACAGTAACTTGCTTGTAGTTTATAAACATAGTTTTTTAACCCCGTTCATGGTACGAGGATACGTAGCTGATTACATGGTTGATTGATTGTTAGAATTGAACATTCATGCCATGGTGTTTGTAATTCTTTATTTTCTTAAATTGAATTGCAGGGATGGGAGAATTAAAGTGATTGGTGGTGACAACATTGAAGTTCTTTTGATATCTCCTAAACCCTTACCCTTTAAGAACCTAGAGGTTTGTCAATTTAATTCTTATAGGAGTTTCATATTATTCTCATTTCTGTATCTTTTTTTCTCAGCTTGTCTATGTCATTTTAATTGTTCATTAGTTATCGTGAGAATAGTTTCCAAATCGGGCTCAGACTCCCAACGGGTGACGATTAAAAAAAATCCACTGTTCTGTTTTTTTCAGTTATCAGTGTGCATGCAGAGTATCATGCTGTGTACTAAATTGTCCTTATATATTTCTAGTGCTGCATACGGTTCTCCGATCACAGACGATGTTGACATGACTTCATTTTACATCTCTTTCTCATTCGTAAATGGTCAAAAGCTTTATTATCTACAGATTATCTGAGATTATATATGTCACATGTTCGGATGAAGATCAAGAAAAGCTTTCATTTTCTCAAGTAGAACCAGTAACTCTTAATGATGTTGTTTTTTGGGTCTTATTAATCAAGTAGGGTCGTCTTTTATAGCTTTTAATTCATGCTTGTTCTCCTTACAGTTCTTGCAAAACCAAGGATTTCTAGTGAGTGTCTCCAATGAAAATGAAATTCAGGTACGGCCATATGCAGTACTACCACTGGTGAAACTCGGTCTTGTCTTAACAATTTTTGCAGTTTATTGAATTTCTGCAAGGCTATCCAAATAACTGTAGAATCATTTCCATCATGACGTGAATTTAGTTCCATTTATTCATTTTTCAAATGCGTTTTCCAATCATCACTCGATTTGTTTCATTATCTCCCATTGCTTATTTAACTTTGACAGGTCTGGGATCTAGAGAAAAGATGTTTATCTTCTAATTTACAATGGGAGTCCAGTATAACTGCGTTCTCTCTTATCATTGGTACAAATTACATGTAAGGGAGTAAGTATTTCTATATACTTGCTTCAGGCTGAAAAAAATTGCCTTAGACATGGCCTGACCATTCATCGCTATTTTGGGGATTTCAGGTATGTTGGAGATGAGTACGGATTCTTGTCTGTGCTAAAGTATGACACTGAAGAAGGGAATATTGTTCAGTTACCGTACCATGTTCCTCCTAATCTTATTGCTGGTAGTTGGATCTTAAATTAATTGTTTAATGTTATACATATGTATTTGACTTATTACAGTAATGCCATAAGCTTCTATCAAATCCATTTGCTTATAAATCTGAAAAAAAATATATAATTCTTTCCTAATATGATTCAGTAGACATGACAAGTTTGCAAGTTAAGACTTAAGAGTGACAAGCCTAAGTCGGAAACAGTGAACAAAGTTGTGAAAGCTTGATGGAAAGTATTACCACTTTAGATATGGATGTGGTTTTGGTCCATTAGTCTCATTGTTAAACTGCTCCACTCGAAGTGAATCTTGCTTTCTATGTCTCAGTTTTACTATTTTATTTTCTTAATGGAATGTTAAAGCACGTCTTACGAAATTATTCCCATGCTATTAATATTGTAGAAGGAGCTGGGATTACATTGCCTGATCAGCAATCCATTGTTGGTGTGCTCTCACATCCTTGTTCTTGTGGGAACAGGTATAAAATGAAGTTTCAAATTTTTATTCAGATACCATTTTGTATAACAGTATAAGAACTCTTTTCTCGTATATCTATCTATAGCTTCTTGCCTGTAACTACTTCTGCAAAGGGTTGAAGTATATTGTAGTTATGCAATTACATGCTATCGTGTCGTGCTTTAAGTTTGCTGCTATGTGATTTGGGGTCTTTTCTGCACAATTTTATATGTACTAGTGAAAGTGTTTGACCTTTGCATAAACCACAAAAAATGTTGATGAGAGACGGTGTCTGTTTCCTTTTTAATTATTTTTCACCTTCAAAATGCAACTTGTTAACATATTTTGGAGTTTATGTAAGGTTAAGTATCTATCTATATTTAGTAGATCATGTCTATCTTAGTTAGGAGATATGTTCCGTCTATAGGAAGAAGTCTTTGCATGTTATCACTCTTTTCCTATCTCTAAATAAGAATATGCATTTGCATATTGATACTAGGGATTATATAGAGAATATTGTAGAAAAGACAGACAGTGTGATATTATTGAATAAGCCCAGTAATTCTTATGACTTGCTCATACAGCTACCTCCCTGGATTTTCTATTTCTGATCTTGATTTTTAGATTGTTTCTTGACATGGCCTTGAAAACTTGTACAAGTGTTTGGTGGAGCGATTAACCAAAACCAATTGGATCTATCCTCTTTTCCTCAACATGTAAATTATTAATACATTGATTAGGGGTTTTAAATAATTGAAATAGAATTTCAAATCTTGTCAAGAGTACCAGCTTATAAACATTGAAATATAATAAAAGAGCTTGCAAATGTGTATGTGTGTGTACACATGTAGTTAATGCATATTTTCACCTACACATAAGTATAATGCTAAAACATGAAAGGGCTTTTGTAAGTTCTGTTCTGAAAATAGTAGCATCTCGAGTTGATTTCTACTAGTGATAAAAAAGTTTAACCAGCTCTTGTGCCACATAAATGGAATAAAAGAAAAACGTCTGTTGTTTTATGGCCTCTGTGTAACTTATATTTCTTTAGCATAAGTGAATAAAATAGAAAAGAGGATGGTGAAGTCCAGCAGATCAGTTGATTGGTTTTGAAATTACTGGAATCAGAAAGCTTGATCTGTTAACAATGCTGGGTATCTTTCAATATATTGGACAAAGAAAGATAACAATTCGGGAAATTGTTGAATATATCGTTATTATTTTCATATGTAGATCCATAGAGATTGCAGATACTGATAGCATTATTAGTAATAACAAAGAGATTCAACATCGACCACTTCTGATTTTTTGTAGGGTCTTGATTGCATATGAGAATGGATTAATCATTCTGTGGGATGTTACTGAAGATAGAGCTGTTCACATTAAAGGCTATAAGGATCTGCAACTGAAAGAGGCTATGACTGTGAACGTTTCAGATAATCAAAGCCAGACCTCCGTAAATGATTCTTTAGACAATGAAGAAGCAGAAAAGGAAATAAGCTCTCTCTGTTGGGCATCCCCTGACGGGTCAGTATTAGCTGTTGGTTATGTTGATGGAGATATTTTTCTCTGGAATCTATCAGTTTCTAATAATGGTAAAGATCAGAAAACTCAAAAGTCGCCTGATGATGTTGTTAAGATACAGCTGTCATCAGGAGATAGAAGACTTCCTGTCATTGTTCTTCACTGGTCTTCTAACAAAGCTCGAAATGGCTGTGGAGGTCAACTCTTCGCTTATGGTGGTGCAGAAATCGGATCTGAAGAAGTATTGACGGTATGCTAGTTTACCCTTTTCCACATCTGTTGAGCTCTATATAGACATGAATTATTTTCCTTTTACTTCAATAAAGGAGCATTGTTTTTCCGAAGACATCTTGGTTATTGTCAAACAACTTTTGCTCTACACCCCGTCTCTCAAACAAGAGTTGTGACTTATTCCTATGCTCTTGCTATTGCAGATCCTTGATCTTGATTGGTCTTCTGGGTTAACAAAGTTGAAGTGCGTCAATCGTGTTGATCTTACATTGCATGGGTCTTTTGCCGACATAATCATAATACCAAATGCTCGTAATAAGGTGGACAACAGTCCTGAGACGTCATTATTTGTATTGACCAACCCAGGACAATTACATTTCTACGACTATGCTTCGCTCTCTATCTTAAAGTCGTACGGAGTAAAAAATCATTCTGTGCATTCATCTCAGTATAATTCAGTTATACCCACTGTGGAACCATATATGACAGTGGGGAAGTTATACATAATAGGCTCAGAAGGGAATTATTTCGGTGCACTCCCACAGGTACTTAATTGCATCAGATATTGTTCAGTTCAAGATCAACAATACTTTCTTATTCGTATTGTTCATTTAATGATCAACAATAGTTTCATTAGACAGTTTCACCTGCAAAACAACAATCAGAGAATATGCGGAGTACAAAATGGCCTCTGACAGGTGGCGTTCCTTACCAGATATCAACAACTGAATCTAATAATATTATTGAGAGAATATACATAGGAGGATATCAAGATGGAACTGTTCGAATTTTTGATGCCACTTTTCCGGTTCTGAAACTTGTTGCTGTTTTAGGATTTGAGGTTAGTGCAGGTCTAACTATGGTTTTGTACATATTCTAGTGTTTTCTCTATATACTGATCAAGACATTATCGTTATATCATATGCTAGCAGATAAAGGGTATTCAAGTTGATGGCACAAGTGGGTCGATATCAGCATTGCATTTGTGTTCTGCTAGCTTAACTTTAGCTGTTGGCAATGAATTTGGTCGTGTAAGATATAGTGTCGATTTTTGTTTGTCACTAAGCCTTACCAGAAATAACGAATGTAATACTAAAATTTTGTATCTTCTATACAGATTTTCCTTTATAGCTTACAAGGGAATACACATGAAACGGTTGCCGTTGTAACTGAAACCAAAAATGAAGGTATGGTTTTCATCTTTATGTGGTCTTGTAATATGCTATATTAGTCATTTTCAGATGCAATGTCGCTAGTTTGGCATATGTTGTTTCTTTAATTGCATTCATATATATATATATATATATATATATATATATATATATATATATTGCCTCAGAGTACTATTACCACTGTTTGTCGTTCCTCTATCATTTGTTCTCATAAGGTGCCTCAATTATCACGAGAGGTGCATTTGATTATTTGATTTTAATGATCATTTTGTGCATTCAAATATATCAATCAATTGTGAAATGGAGCTTACTTTAGTAAAATAGGACTTTAGGTTTTTGGCTTAAGCAACTTTAGTGCAATATTACGGTAGAGAGAGAATAAACGCAACAGGCTTTTGCTTAAGAAGGCTGTACTCTAACCTATGGCTGGGGGCTTTTCTATCAGAGCCTTCATCAAGTCTTTAACGCATTTAAGATGTTTCCTATCAAGTCCGTCGAAACACCTGCATAGTCAAAACATGCATTGATATGAACTATGTGATAGTTTCGTGTGTTAAATTGTAGTAGTTGCCTTGCTTTCACTTGCCTCTGAGAGAAATAAGTCATGCAATAATTTTGCTTTCTGATGGTCTCACTCTAGTTGTTTTTTTTCAATAGTTTATGCAATAGGTTTTCTGAATATGATGACCATATTATAGTTTATCTGCAGTTCACCACTGCCTACCTGAAGAGAGAAATCATTGTTCTGCCATATTTTCCATATCTACTTCTCCTGTGTGTGCATTACAATTTGCAACTTCTGGAGTCAGACTTGTTGTAGGATTTCAGTCTGGACAGGTAAGCATTGGTTTAATAATCACATTATTAGAGTTTTTCTATTTCGTATTTTTATTTATCACATTTATACAGGTTGCAGTGCTTGATACGAGATCGCCTTCAGTTTTATTTGTCTCAGACTATGTGTCTAGCTCAAGGTCACCTGTCATTTCTCTTGCTGTTAAAACTTTTCCTGATACCCACGAGATCAGTGTAAAGAAACCTGACAGTCAAACCGAAAGTGAATCTGCAAAAGAGATTACTTTTGCCCTCACCAGAGATGCACACATGACCTTGATGGATAGCACCACTGGCAATGTGATAAGTGCACAGCCAATGCATTCAAACGAAAAAATAATTGCAATAAACATGTATCTATTAGGCAAGTATGCTCCTGTTTGCTTATTATCTTATTTAGCATTTCCTACTCAGATGTTCACATTAGTCTTCGACCTGCTCGACAGATGATTCAAATATGTCTTCCCAGCATATTGAAGATGAAGATATGCAGCACTCAAATGTAGATAACAAGACAGTTGCATCTCAGATTTTAATTTGTTGCGAGGAAGCTTTATACGTTTACCCTTTAAAGTCATTGATTCAGGTGCTCTCCATATGTTAATGCATTCTCACTTCGATTCCATAATATTTTCATTCACACCTTATGATAAAGCCTTATTTTAGGGGGATTATAACTTTGTCCGCGAACTGAAACTTGAGAAACCATGTGCTTGGACTACAATCTTCAAGAGAGACGCAGAAAAATATGGTGTCATTTTAGTTTATCAAACAGGGGAAATCGAAATAAGGTAAACTTCGTATTTTATCGTATAGTTGTTCTTTAGGCTGTGATAATATTCTGTTAGGTGACACCTGATTCATGATTGATTGAGATGTAAACTGCATAAAGGTGATTGAATACCGTTTTGGCTTTGTTTTTTTTAGTATTAACTGAAGCAACTAGATGATTCAGGTTGATTGAATGCAGTTAAAATGCTGTAAACATTCTCTTGGGGAGGATTATATTAAAAACATCCAAGATTTTCACTCGTGAGAGATAGTTCATGTTTAAAGATAGAATTTCAGATATCTTGTAAAGTGAAATTGGGGTTGTGGAAAAGAAATGCGAGTATGTGCTCAGGAAATTTTCCCCTTGGTACGGGAAGCTACATTTGATCTTTTTCGCAAAAAAAAAGATTGAGAAAGATGAATGTTTTGTAGGTTTCTGTAGTATGTGCTTTTAGGTGCAGTAGGTTTCATTTACCCACATTTAACTGTATGTTGATCATGATTATGTCAATTACATCTGTAAAGAATTCAGTTTGACAGTCAAGAAAATGATAGGATGATGATGGTTCTGATAGTAGATTGACCAATACAATTCTCATGTGCACATGTAATAACATTTCGTTATCACAATTCCTCATAGTTAATGAAGCATGCCATGCTTTTTGTGGTTGGCTTTATCTAGTAAAAAGAAAGTTGAAGTCTTATCCCTTGGAAAAAAGTATATGAATATCAATTGAAGCATGCAGAAATTAGGTTTTATTGACTTCTTTAAAAGGTTTTACAGCACCCCAAAGTCTCACATCAGTTCATGGAGGAATTTGTTATTGCTCGAGTCCATTAGCTGTTTGTTTTCAACATAGGGTTAATTTCATGTGGGCCTAAGCTATAACCGCCATTGCACATTGGTTTTCATAGGAAAATGTTAATGGTATACAAGGCCTTCGCTAACTCATACTCTTAAATAGGGAATTAAGCATTGAGCTGATTACAGTCTCATATTTACAGTTCAAAAGTTGTGATAATGTTCCAATGTTTTTGGTAATTATGTCATATTCTTAACTTTCCATGACTTAAAACTGTGATTTTAATGGAAAAAAGAGTTGCACCTTTTCAGGTCTTTCCCAGAGCTTGAACCGCTAGGCAAAACCTCAATGATGTCAATACTAAGGTGGAATTTCAAGAACAACATGGACAAGACAATGAGCGCTTCTGACAAAGGGCAGATTACAGTGGTTGGTCACTTGTTTGCTTTAAACTTCAATATCTGTATCCGTATAGCATTTTTTATTATTTTGAACTGATTGATTTGAGTTGACCGTTGATTATCCCTTGCTTGCTCGTTACTTTATAATTAAATAGAAAAAATAGATTCTTAATGTATTCCCTTTGTTTGGTAGCCCTTTCGAATCTCCAAGAACATACAATTATCATTAGGCAGTTTTGACCTCAATCATAGGTATTATTTTGACTTTCACCTGATTATGTTTATTTTTATAGGTCAATGGGTGTGAATTTGCTTTTGTATCTCTTTTGGCATTTGAAAATGAGTTCAGGTCACCTTTTCTCCAACCTTAACCCAA